CCAAAAAGTAGTAATTTCAAGACCTTTGTAAGCAAACTATTCCATCCAGCTATAGAGAAAATAATTATTTTTATAGTTGGAATTTTTTCCTAGCATTTAATGTAACTGTTCCTATAATTTAAGCATATTGTTTCTTGCCCTATTGACTAATTTCTCATTTCAGTAGCTATCCCTTTCAGACATTTAAATACTATTTCATCTCTCTTCAGTCTTCTCTAGCCTAAATCAGTTCAACCAATCTAATCTCACAGGTTGTGCTTTCAGATCCAAGATGTTCCTTGTCACACAATTCTAGACATAAAGCAGACTGCCTATTACTCCTCTCACGAGACCACAACACTGGTAATTCAGGCAATGGTTCAATTAAATTGTGTATTAGATTTTACAGTGTATCATACTGCACTAAACATTACATCTGCAAAACACTGACCTATTTAACTCTTTATTCATGAAAGCATATTTAAACATTTTTGTGACATTAAGATTACCTTGTCAAAAGTTTTTTTCCTGCAGCTACCATGGAATAGACACAAACATTGCATCTCATGTTCTGGAATGCTATAACTTGTTCAAAGCTGATCCAGATCAAATGTGCGATCTAAAACAATTCATCAGGCTCACACATCAACCAATAACCAATATGGCAACAGAATTCCGGTTCACTTACAATCTGCTGTAACTTCCTTTTGGTAGAGCTACCACCTACCAGCTGACCCACACCTTTTACCGATGTGGCTGACTATTCATTAGCATAAAACCTTACATTTATTCTTCGTGAATTACATTTTATTTATTCCAGTTAATGTCAACACTTTACAAAAGGCATGTGATATGACATGTACTACTTCACAAGGCATGCTATTCTCTCACAGAAATAAATTATATCAGTTTGATGTATTTTTTCTTCACAAATTTGGGGTCCTGAAACCTCAACTATCATCCACAATTTTACAGAAATGCATTTTAAATATTCTCCAAGGAACTTTGTAAGACCCAGCAAATTTCCAACCACCCTCTCCCCAAGTACCTAAGTACCCTCTCCCTTGCTTTTGCTTTCGCTTTCTTACGCCGTTATTGTTGTTGTTAATTGTACACAAGACGCATACTCATAGCTGACCTTCTGAAATGCAGCTGCATACTGAAAATACATTAAAGCAATTCTTTTTAATATTACTAGCTCATAACAAGCTTAAAGCCTTAGTCCAAGGCATTGATTTGTATATGCGAAAATCTAAACAATCTGGGACACAATTATGTAAGAAATGGCCTCTGTCTCCACAATATAAGGCCACACCAAGTATCATCAGACTTACATGTACTGGAGTATCCCTAATACAGGCATGAAAGAACTGATGTTAGGGTAGTCTTTGTGAGGACACCTTCATTTAAGAACTTCCATGCATACTGCAATTTTTGAATTTGAAATTTGAAAAAGTAAAGAAGAGTGGAAGTGCATATGTATGTCAATATGATTTTTTTTCTGCAGCTTAGCAGAACACCTCAGAAGCTTTACAGACACATGTAAGAAAGACAAATAAAGAAAATATTGCACTACAAAGCTGTATATTTTTTGATTCAAAAGTTGTACATTCAACATATACCTATATATTATGTAAGTCAGACTGCTCAACACTCAGGGGGGTGACATTACATTTAACAAACCTGCATACACTGTGGAGACTCAAAAGAGAAACAGTAGTCCAACCACACTGCTTTTATAAACTCAGGTAGCTCTTGGGTGGGATGAGAAGCATCCTCAACATTTAGAAGAAAAAGCTACAGCAGGATGGACACAGGAAGAGGGAATTTAACACAGAAGCTGGAAATAAAACATGAAGGACAGAAGCAGATGACAGGAACTTGGGAGCATGATGAAGTAGAACTGCTTAGGATACATAACCAGGCTTGTAGCCGAGTAGAAATATTACTTATGAGATCAAAGAAACCCCATCTTCAGGGATATGATTGAAGTCCAAGTTATGAACATGATGATGGTGAGGCTAGGGTTAACAAGCTATTTGTTTTCTTAACTTACTCAGCTGTAGCTCTAAGGTATGTGTTGAGCTACCTTCATAACAGAAGAGACTAGAAGCATTGTCTACTCTTAAGATTATCTCATTTTAGTCCTGACAAAACCATCCTCTCAGCTTTAATCCTATCACACTTCAATCACGTAGGCTGAAATTTTCTTTGCTGGGTGTCTGCCTAAAGCTGCACACTGCTGGAAAATACTACTTTTTGGAGACAAGACTTAAAACTTGGCAAACCAAGACCTTTGATATCCTTTTAGTATTCCTGTGAAAATGTAAGGCATCTGGCCACACTACATGTGGCAGGGATAAGAGTGCAGAGGGAGGAGGGTAAAAAAAAATTATAATAACTATTACTAAAGCATAAAATCATTGAAAACCTACACATTGAAGTATAATCCAGAGGTTACAGCTATCTCCTGCCTCTACACCTGCTAAATGGAAAGCTCTTTCTCCTATATTTATAACGCCTCGTCCTATTCTTCAGGCAATAGTAAAAAGAAGCTACCTTGTTAAGGCAAAATCCAATACAGGAAAATGGCGTACAGCAAGTTATTTACAGAAGAGATGTTGGGAACAAAAGACTAGAGAATGGATTAAGGGAGAAGAGTAGAAATAGGGCAGGAAAAAGACTGGAACCTGTGTGGAAAAGAAAGAATTGGGGTTAGCTAGAACACAGCTAAACTGGAGTAGCTAGTTTAGGAGAAAGTAGGTAAAAAAAGCTGTCAGGGACAGGAAAGTGAGATGACTGTGTTAGGTACAGTCAAACTTGCAGAAAAGGCTATACCAGTTGAAAAGTACATCCTCTCCAGTGCCTGTAATGGAACCAAAGATTTTGAATTTCACCATTTATTTTCTGATTGCAAATACATACAAAAATACTTACATTAAAATGGTATGAATGTAAGCTTGCCAACTCAAGCACACAAAATTGGAACTAACAGAATTAAGCCTGCCTATGTCCAAATGCTATCTATAATATGGTCTTTATCTATACATTTAGTTTACTATATATAGTATAGTAATTAATATATATATTGGCATGTAGATTATGTAAATCTGTAACTAATATATAACTATATTATTGGTACTATCTATATTATTTTTTCAGGCAGTCCTCAAAGTGATAAGGTAATAAAAAATTCATTAGCAATTTAAAATGGCACTGAGAATATAAAAAAAAAAAAATGCCATTCCACTATCACTGAAGGATGCTATTGAAAAAAAATATCTAACAAAACTCAATAAGCTTTTTTTAATATTCTGTTAAAAGCAGATAAAGATTTAATTCCTTTGTGGAAGGTTGAAACTAAGTATGTATTAAATATGTTTGTATCCTTACATTCTGAAGCAAAAGAGTTTCAGAAAGAAGTGGAAGGCTACCTGTCTTTCTCAAGTAGATAAAAGTGACTGAAATCTGCTGATATTTAGTACACCTACATGCTTCATGTGCTGCTGTATACAAATGGTATACAAGATTCCTGTCAGGACTGCAACATAAATAAAAACTTGTTTGTGAATGTCTTTCACCTACAGCTAGTGAAAAAAGAAACAAAAACCCAAAACAAAAAAAGATCTATTAAGATGAATAAGTGCTGTAATACACAGTTACTGCTAATTATCAAAATATTTTTCTACTAATTACATGAAAAAAATGTAGTAGTTTAAGATAGAGAGAATAGTTTGGAAACTACAAAAGAACAGAAGAATGAGTGAAACTGGCTACTGAGAGCTGGCTCTGAACACTCGAGTGATAGTTGGGTCATTACCAAGAGTAGAGAACACTCTACCATAATGTCTTCAAGTTTGCTACTATACATAAACATATGTAATTAAAGGGCTGAATCTCAACTCAAAACAGTTGGAAGTCTAAATTATCATTCAAAAAGATGAGTAAGCCAGTAAACAGACAGACTCAACTTCGTGTTCTTGTATGCTAGCCATCTCCAACTTGGAATTACGTGTTTTAATCCTAAAAGCTTTTTGTCTTGCTGGGATTAAACATCAGTCATGCGAATTTTGTCCTTTAATATTAGAGGGGATGAAAAATCTTGGGGAAGAACACTTGCTCAAAGGAGCAAAAAACAAAATCAGTAACAGAAACTGACAATTTTGTTCCAACAAGTCTGTAGCACTCGTTTGGCCATTCTGGGATCTATACAGAAAATGGAAAAACTGAAATAAAACCAGTATAAAGAAATGGAACAGATGTTTCTCAAGTATTGAACTTCTCTTTTTAAAACAAAATGGAGGAAAAAAAAAGGCAGGTACATAGCAAAGGTTAACTTCCATCTCTGTACCCACAAAAAATCTGACAA